TGGTAGTCCAGTGATGAAATCTAGACTAACAACTTGCCATGGCTGCTCTGGTACGGGTCGAGCCTGAAGTAACCCTGCTTTTTTCTACTTGCTACTCTTCATCCGCTGGCACATGTTGCATGAGGTGACAAACTGCTACACGTCCGTTGCCATCTGGGGCAGTAGTAATACATAACTATGTGGGCAAGGGTTTTGTTACTCCCGAAATGTCCCACATAAGCTACGCCGTGAAACTCCTCCAAGAGAATCTGTCAGACTGGAGCGTAGTTGGGAACCCAAATATTTCCATAACCTTTCTGTCCTGCTAGGTCGTTCTCCCTCTGTAGCAGTTTCTGCTTCTCTGCTGAATCTATCTCTGCGTCCACGGAGTACCCATGTTGCAATAAGCCTTTGAGACGGGGGTTCATCCCATCGAGTTGGATCCCTGCTACATGCCCGGGTTGGCTCATTGCATTTGCTTTGTTGTGTAACCCTGGCTTGTAGACGATTTCGTAATGGAAATGTGTCTCGAGGAAGTCCATCCACCGCACATATCATCGTGAGAGCGTACACTACAACTTGAGGTATTTGAGATTGCAGTGGTTGGTGTCGACCGAAATCTTTGATTTTTCCAGGTAACACCTCCATGGTTTGAAGGCTCTAACGATCGCGCGTGAGCGACAAGCGAGTCAGCATTGGACGCGTGGTGAACCGAGGAGCGACGTCGAGTCGAGGCATTCTATCACTGACAAATAGGTTGAGAAGTCAGGTGGCCTATCAGTTCAGAGAAGCTGGAATGGTCGGTGCGTTTGTTTGCGACAGCTCCATTTCAGGTAGGACTGTTCACCTGTTGTGGTTTGCCTCCACGTTTGACTGTGGAGTAACTATGTCTTAGGGCTCATTTATGGCTTCTGTCAAGCTCAGGGAAGCGCGGAAGGTCCAGCCAGAGTGTTCGCTTAGGCATCTGGTCAGAGTCGGTGTCTTCCGGAGCTAGGTTGGTGTCTTCCGCTCCGGGACTTGAAGTGGGTCTCGGATGATCTGAAGTGCGTGGTCAACTCAAAGTGGGGCCAAGTTGGAAGCTGCATGCTTGATCCTATGTTTGACACGATCTAGGAATGCACTCTCGGTTCGTGTGAGCGCGTAGTGTAGTGTTTTCAAACATAGTATTGGTACGGTACCGTACTACCCCGGATATAGGCGCATATGCGCTAATAATAAATTCGATTTTTTCAGGGGGCGGCGCTTGTAATTGAGTAACGGCCATAAGCACCGGCGCTTATATCATGGCGAAAATGATTTTGTTATTTATATGTACCAAATCGAAGCCCGCAATAAGGCGAACACAATTGTGTAACGTGCGCGTGGCATCATGCATGAAATCCCGCCGTAAACAGGCGCGCTTCGATTTCCGACCGCACAAAGCCCGTCCAGGAGCAGCGCACCTGCCAGCGCTGACGTGAAAGTTGCCATGCGGCCCAATCAGGCTTTCATGCGCTGGCAGGCAGCTGCATTTCACCCGAACCATCGAGAAGGGGCTGGAATGCCCTGCCAGCGCAGCATGTTCGTGCCGCGATACCCTCCTCTCTGGGTTCAGACAGGGGGTTCCCCTCTCTCCCCGATGAGGACCCCGAGGCGCTAACCAGAAGGGGTCCCTTTGAATCTCTCATTTGTTCTCCATTTCTCTCAGTTTCTCGTTCAGTTTCTTGGTCACTCTCGCCTGGCTGCGGAAGCCATGGCGGAATTCAGCGGCACACACTTCTTTTTCAAGAAAAAACCTACGCGAAGGCTCGCGTTTAGAGTAGACGCTGACGGGTGGTACTCCCGTATCCCACCAGAACCACCAGAGCCACCACAGCCTCCTGCGCCTCCTGCTCCTCCTTCGCCTCCTGCACCTCTTGCGCCTCCTGTTCCTCCTGTTCCTCCGTGTACTCAGGGTCCTGTGTCTCCACAACACACTGGTAATCAGCTCGTGCTCATGCTGCTGCTCCCATCGACGTTTGACGAATACCTCTCCGAACCGGAGTCTAACAAGGCGCAAGATGAGTACGTGGAAGCGGAGTACGCGCCGTCAGCACGTTGGGGACAGCCCGACGATTGCCCTTGGGACGAATCTGCAGTCGGCGCCGACGGTGATGTGGCTGACGCTGAGGAAGCGAGCGGCGCTGACGGCGCCGAGGGTGGCACGGAGGCTACCGCCGAGGGCGGCACCGCTGAGGATGTGTTTCCAGAAGGTGTTACGGGCGACGATGACGACGACGGCGTGGAGTACTGGTCACGCGACGGGCTACCCGAGAAACTGCCCATACCATCCTATCCTCCGATTAATCGCAAGCGACCCCACCCCTCTTCACAAAACCGTGATGCCCGCCCCCCTCTCCCAGGCACAAGGTCACCGACCACAAGCGTCAAGGTTACACCGCCGCGGAGAAGTTGAAGTGGGTTGCGCTGCTTGACGTGGCGGTGTCGGTGCGCGCCTTGGCTCGCGAGAGAGGAATCCACCGCAAATGCCTCACCCACTGGAAGCGGGCGACGGAATTCCTCAAGGACGTTCACTCCGCTCGGAAGCGCATGCACGGCCGCGGGCGAGCGTCGTGGTACCGTCCGATGGAGCTGAAGGTGTACGGGAAGCTCCTTGACTGGCGCCGCAAGGGAACCGCCGTGTCAGTCGGCCGCCTGTAGGAGTGGTCGCGGGAGTTCATGAAGCTTCTGTACCCCGACGTGAACTGGAAAGGAAGCCAGAGGTGGTCGGAGCGCTTTCGGCGGCGATGGAATCTGAGCGTCCGTATGAAGACCCGGGTTGCCCAGAAAACCGCCGCGCGTAAGAATTACCCCGTGTACTTTGCCACGTGGTTTTGTTTATTTGAACTAACACCCTCCGTCTGTGTCCGTCCTCTCTTCCACCGCCGTACAGATGTCGCTGAGCAGTGCAAGATCTTCTAGCAGTTCGTGCGTGCCAAGCGTCGTGAGCGCGGCATCGACACCGCGTGGATCATCAACGCGGACCAGACGCCGCTCTGGCTGGAGATGCCCGCCACCACCACCGTGGAGGAAACGGGTGTTCGCTCGGTGCCTATCAGGAGCGCGGGGAATCAGAAGCAGCGAGTGACCGTGATGTTGGCGTGCACGGCGGACGGAATGAAGCTGAAGCCGTGGGTGTTCTTCAAGCGCAAGACCTTGCCGAAGGGCGATTTCTCTGCTGGTAAGTCAAGAGGTGTTCTGCACGTTCGATGCGGTCTGTTCTGAGTTCGAATTCTAACCACCCGTACGTGATTCGTGCAGATGTGGTCGTGGCTTGCCACGAGAACGGGTGGATGGACTCCGCGGGCGTCATTCGCTGGCTTGAGGAGGGCGTCAAGCCTTTCTTGAAGCCTCGGTTCGGCAGACAAGCCAAGAGCTCGATGCTGGTGCTGGATTCTTACCGCGGTCACCTCACCGAGGTTGTGAAGGAGAAGCTCCGCGAGATGAACTGCGTGCCAGCAGTCATCCCGTCGGGCTGTACGGCAGAGGTACATCCGCTCGATGTCTCCATCAACAAGAGCTTTAAGGCGTCGGTCCGCCAGCAGTACCAGAGGTGGTTTGAGGCAGAGGGGCAAGAGCAGCTGACGGCAGCAGGTATGGCATGAACAATGTATTGTTTTACCACCCCCCGAATTCTTTGTTATTGCACTAACGGCCTTCCACCGTACTCCCGTAATGTTTCAGGGAACCTCAAGAAGCCTCCACCTGAGGTCGTCCTGAGGTGGATATCTCAGGCCTGGAAGGCAGTGCCGGCCGACCTCATCAAGCGTGCCTTCCTCACCTGTGGCATCAGCAACCAGCTTGACGGCAGTGAGGACGGACTCGCCATGGCGCACATGCGGAGCCAGCTGACAGCGGAAGTGGATGTCGACGATGACATCATCGCTGATGGATTTTTTAGGAGCCCGAATCTGACGAGGAGGAGTAGGAGGGGTACTAGATGATCCATGTTAGGTAGAAGTACCCTGGCTAAACTTGTTGTTAGGCGATCTAGCATAATCTGATGTTGTAGTTCCTAAGAAAAGGTGACATTTTAGTGATTTCTTTGTAATGCCTCCAATAAAAGTTTAAGGGTGGCACTTATAATAAGGACAGAAATCACAGGGGGTGCGCTTATAATCGAGTTCCGGCCATAAGCGCCATGCTCCAGATAGAGGCGCCGACGCCTATAATCGGGCGGCGCCTATATCCGGGGTGATACGGTACTTATTAAAGTCGTTTCAGACAAACCCCATCTTTTAAAGTGAAAATGGATGACTACATGCAAACATACTGGTAGTCAATACCATGAGCCATGGCAGGGTGCAACATCTTCAAGAACACTCTCTGACAGGACAACATATGCATGCACAGAAAACAACAACACAACGAGGGTACAACCAATGTCTCTACTACCCAGACCCTTGTGATGGAGCAAACGGTTGGCTACCTAGAGCGAGAGAAATTGCTTCATCAAAAGAATGAGTAGGATGCTCAACACTATGAACAATTGCATCGACTGCATTCGGCTCTGTATCATCGCACCCGAATACACTCTCATGTATTCTCAGAAGCTCTGAGACAACTTGGTCCATGTGTGGCCGATGGGATGTGGGCATGGTTGTGCAGCGAAGTGCCAGCTGCCCCAGCTGAAGGAGCGTGTCAGAGGGAGCATCTAGTGCCGGGTCCCTGAAGCCCTCTGCATCCCCACAGGCCACCAGCGGCTCCACCTACCGGTAGAGGTTAACCGAACAAGAAGCAGCAGGCAAGGTGCAAGTGGGGCACAGGGCAAGGAGAGTGGGAGGCAGAGAGCAAGGAGTATGTGGGGAGGGCACACCTGGTAGGAAGTGGGACAGCTGGCGCGAGGACATGGGCCAGCTGGCATGCTCGCATGGATAAACACGAGCGAAATAAGCTGCAGAATGACGGGGCGGGGAGGGAGGGGTGGCTTTGGGGAACATGGGGAGGTAACCCAAGTCGGGTTTACTACGCATGATGGGTAACAGGGTTTGAAATGGACACACCAATTGTCGAATGTGGACGTTTTGGTCTCCGATCTTCTGCAGTGCTTGTCGCGCTGTGAGCAACTCTAGCATGACCACGCCGTAGCTGCCAAGGGGCATTGCAACAATGGGACATGCATTTGAGACGGCTCACGTCGTATCTCACGATGCAGAATCGCCATACCATAGCTGTGAAGGGGTGTGATGGAACAACTGGATCAAGAAAACAAAATGCACAGCCACTCACCTTGAGGGGTGATGCGGGCCTAGGCCCTTGGCATGCAATTCGACTCCCAGCATCGTTCCATGAGGCGCCAGGGAACGCGCCACATGTTCATCAATGCAGTGTGTTGGGTGATGGTGAGCCAACAGGGGGACGATGACCGCAAACACATACACACCACCTCCCTCCCACCTCTCTTTCACCTCCTCCCTTCCTGATACAGAACTTGTGCTGCTTCGCGCACACATCATTCTAGCCTGCATCTGCACCTGTACACGTCAGCAGCAGAGGTGGCCATGCGGGACTTGGAGTAAGCGGGGTCCATGTAACCCGGGGTGCCCAGGATGCGAGTCGTATCGCCGTTCGAGCTCTCATCCCCCATGCGCGCAATCCCAAAGTCTGCGATCTTAGCCTGCCAGTGGGGATATGCCAGGCGAAGGGCAAAAACGGGGGGTTGGCATGCTCACTTGTGAGAAATCTTGAATCATTTTCAGAAGCATGCTCACCTGCACTCCTTAGGACCTGGTTTAGTGAAAAGGCAGTTGCGAGCACACATAAGCAGTAGTAGGGTGTTCAGACAACACTTTAACCTCACCCAAACGTCATCACCCCATAACCACATTTTAGGGATTGCTCCCCAAACCCTTTCCAATAGATCGGAAGGTCTCTGGTTCGAATCCCCAAGTGCGCTCCGTGTCCTGGAGCGCCCCTGGTTAATCGGGGGTGTTAGATAGAGAGTGCCTTTATGGGTATTATAAACGGAGAAGGGCAATAGGGAGTGAGGCCTGACGGGTTGTAAGTAAACTAGCGTCCCAAATAAGCTCATTAAACACATTCTTGAGAAAGTTGTGTTTTCAACAAACCCGCTCACCGTCAAGTGGCTGTTCACAAGGATGTTGGCTGATTGACTTTTGAGTCGATTCAACAACCAAATATGCTCATATAGCAGATTTCCAGCGGAGTACCTTACTCAACAAACCCGCTCCGCTCACCTTCATGTGGCGGACCAGTAGGATGTTGGCTGGCTTGTCAATGGTGGACAGGTGGGCTGCCGAGGCCTTACTTCTATTAACTCGGATGTTTTAGGACAACGAGACGAACCCCATAGATCGGGTGAGTTGCGTACCCAACGAACCAGCTCACCGTCATGTGGCGGTCCAGTAGGATGTTGGCGGGCTTGATGTCGCGATGCACGATGCCAAAACTGTGCAGGTAGTGCAGCCCTCGAGCCATGTCCACCAGCACACTCACACGCTGCTTCAGGGAAAGTGGAGGCATGCCCGAGTCTGCGAAGGGGGGGTGGGGTCAGAGGGAGGGAGTAATGGGGAACACAAGGGGGAGCAGCAGGAGAGCAATCAAGTGGAAGGCAAGAGACAGGGCGTGTTGAAGAGACCAAAAGTTTGTGGAAGAAAGCTCGGATGCTCAAGCAAGAAACTTCCAAACTGCAAACCATTCTTCCATTGGACTTGGTGAACCACATGGCACAGTTGTCACCGTCACCATAAGCACGTGAAGCGAATTGGGCTTCGATCGTGGAAGAACAGTTGTCACCGTCACCATCCATGCTTACAAACAATTGAGACCGTTTTAGCCCCCTCCTTTTTGCATGTATTTGAGACCAGTTACTTCCTTCATGCCACAAACCATTCTGCCACGCAATTGTGATTATCCCTCAAAGCTTTTCACTATGACCATGATCCAGTAGTATTTATAATTTCCCAGAGAAAATAAGAGAAAAAAAGTATAGGATACTCCTTTCAGAAAAAAGCACAAAATAGTAGGAGATATACAATAAATGAAAAGGCTAGAAGCACTGAGGAAGGAGTGTAACATTGGCGTGTGTTAACATGTGTGACCTCTCACCCTTGTGAGCATGCACATGGTAAAGCAGGTCGCCCCCATCCATGAACTCATACACCACGATCTGCTCATGCTCCTCTGTGCGCGCATCCATGTGCACACAGTACCCCAGCAGCCGCACCAGGTTCGGGTGGTGCTTCGATGCCATTTGCTGCACCTGTTGCAGTGACAAGGGATCAGAGGAGGGGAGTGGTAATGAATGTTGCGCTGCCATCTGCTGCATCTATGCCATCTGCTGGATCCGTTCCATCTGCTGCCTGAGTGCCATTCGCTAGACCTGTTGAAGTGGAAAGGAGCAGGGGCGGCCGGGTATCGGTGGTGAATGTTGAAAGGAGAGCCTCATAGACGTTGCTCAGCGATCGTCGTGCCTATACGCCTTCGCCGCACCGATTGCAGTCGTATGGAAGTAGATCGAGTGGTACCGGTGGTGAAAAAGAAGTCACATGTAGAATTAGTCTCAAAGAAGCTGGGCTGCTATTCCGTACGCCACTTGCTGCACCTGTTGAAGTTAAAACGAGGAGGGGCGGACATATAGATGGTGGATGCTGCTTGTGGGTGAAAGAAAGGCCTGCTGCTTGCAAGCCATCTGCCTCACCTGTTGGTTGGGATTAGCGGTGAACTTTAGAGTCAACTAAACAACGCAGCAGCAAAAAGTGAGGGAATCGATGTTTACAACTTGTAACGTTTCTAGTGGGACCAAATCACATCGGCTTTAGGATGGGTGAATGTGAAGAAGATTCCAAAACAAGTGCCGGTGTTGATTGGATTCCATCTAGTGGAGCTGCTGGCGTGATCAAGGGGCCAACGAGGCTTGGATATATACAGCTGACTTGCAAATATTCAAATGCCGGAATGTTATCAGTCTTTAATGATTGACAACACGTACAGAACATGACCATCCGCTCTTGCAATTTTGTCGCCACGTACGAGCTTTTGTGCCCAGCACACCATCCAAGAAAGGGACACAGCACAGGCACGACAGATTTGCTAGAACATTGGTCCAATGTACCAACAATTGTAAATCTGCACTCAATTGCGACAACACACATGGCTTTGTGAAAAGTGGCTACACCAACCTTCAAGCAAACTCATTCCGGAAAGAATCATCCTGCTGCATGTGACAAACACGACTGAACGGTTTCCCTGACACTTTCCCACGACCCATCTTGAAGTGCGAGACCTGAATTCAGAGTTGGGAGGCAAACTGGGGACAGGTTGCCTCCCGCACCGCACCTGCTGGGTGTCGAGCGTGATTCGCTCTTGCACTATCGCCGAACCTCCTGTTGGGGCTTTTCAAACCTACAAATCGCCTGTTGAGTTCGTTTCGCTTGTTGAGTTCGTTTATACCATCAGCTGTGGTGCGACGAGCAGCTCCATTCATGCCTCCATCTCGCCTCACCTCTTGCCTCGCCTCACCTCCCGCCTCTCGTCTCTCGCCTCACCTCTCTCCGGAAGTCCTTGGTGATGATTTTGGCGCGCTTCACAGCCCACACAGTGCCAGGGTCGCCACCAGGGGGCACTCCTCGGAACACATCGCCATGCCCGCCCGTCCCCACGAGGTTGCTTGGAGACCAGTTGTCCGTAGCAGCAACCAGCTCCTCCAACTGCATCTCCCGACACAGGGGCACTCCTTGGTCTGCCTGTGCCCCACCCTTGTGCCCCTTAGCTTTTTTGCCCTGTTGAAGATGGTGCCTTAGCCAGAGCAAGACAGTCAGGATGAGCAGGAGGAGAAGACATGAAGCACCAACCGCTATTCCAGCTATGGCTGCGGACGATAATCCTGGTGACGGCTCTGTACGCGTGACAGGGCACGGGTGGAATGGGATGGGAGGGGTTGGGATGTGTCGCCGTGAGTTGGGAAGACTCTCGAGGTGCCTCAAAATGACGGCTCACACGGGCGCCTCAAAAGGTACAGTGCCATATCCATGGCACTGGTACTCTGTACATGGAACGGGTACTCTGTACATGGCACTGGTACTCTGTACATGGCACGGGTACTCTGTACATGGCACGGGTACTCTGTACATGGCACTGGTACTCTGTACATGGAACGGGTACTCTGTACATGGCACTGGTACTCTGTACATGGCACTGGTACTCTGTACATGGCACGGGTACTCTGTACATGGCACGGGTACTCTGTACATGGCACTGGTACTCTGTACATGGAACGGGTACTCTGTACATGGCACTGGTACTCTGTACATGGCACTGGTACTCTGTACATGGCACGGGTACTCTGTACATGGAACGGGTACTCTGTACATGGCACGGGTACTCTGTACATGGCACGGGTACTCTGTACATGGCACGGGTACTCTGGACATGGCACTGGTGGACTTGGATGGGAGGGGCTGCAGTGTGGCGCCAGGTTCAACAGTTTAGGTGGTCACGATTGAGAGAGGCTGAGACCTTTGAGTGCAACACCCAACTCACTGGCTTTCTTGTATACAGGGATGTGAGCCGCAGAAGTAACAGTGACTCTCTATATTTAACAGATGGATGGAAAGGAAGGGAAACGAAGAGAAGGGAAGGGAATGGGACGTGAGCGAAGGGAATGGGACGTGAGCGAAGGGAAGGGGAGGGGAGGGAAAGGGAGAAAACGGAAGGGGGGGGGAGGGAAAGGGAGAAAAGGCAATAGGAGAGGAGGGAAAGGGAGGGAAGGGAAGGGGAGGGGAGGGAAAAGGAGGGAAGGGAAGGGGAGGGGAGGGAAAGGGAGGGAAGGGAAGAGGAGGGGAGGAGAAGGAAGGGAAGAACTTGAGATGGGCCTCCCGTGACTCTTAGAAACCCCCCTCTTAGGTCTGTCCGGTTTAAAATGCCTCTCCTCTATGCTGTGTGCGTGAGCCATGCACTACAAAGGACTTCGCTCATAATGGAAGAGCAGCAATTCTAAAGAGTAACGCTTAAAGCAATTCTATGCTGTGTGCGCCATGCACTACAAAGGACCATTCGAGAGAGGGGTGGTTGGTGGTTGTGAATCTCACCGACAGAGCAGGTAAGCGACCCATTGACTTGAGTAGCATGGTAACCAGGCGAGCAACGGCATGTGTAACCATTGCCATTGCCCGTGCCACTGCAGTTGCCGTTGCCACAAGGGTTGTTGCTGTAGGGGCATGTGCTGCTGTTTCCGGGATTGCCTGTGAGCACATGGCAGGGAATGGTATTAGAAGTTGCTAAGTAGGCATGCGATTGACAAGTCTCTAAACATTGAACCGAGAGACATGGGACGATTTCTGAGGCGCCTCAAGAAAGGTTGCTGCTGGGGCATGTAGTGCTTTCAGCATTGCATGTGTGCACAAAATGGGTCAGAGCACAGTTGCTGAGTAGGCGTGTGATACTAGACTGCGAGGACAGCAAGATGAGGTGTTTGTTAGGGTTTGCAGCACAAACTGGCACACACACACAAACTAGCACAAACAGCTCGTTAGGGTTTGCAGCGCGTAATGGCATGCATGCCTTATGCTGCAGTTAGGTGCTATTGCCTCTTGGACTAGCGTTCTTGTACACAGGGATGTGTACACAGGGATGTGTACACAGGGATGTGTACACAGGGATGTGTACACAGGGATGTGTACACAGCGATGTGTACACAGGGATGTGTACACAGGGATGTGTACACAGGGATGTGTACACAGGGATGTGTACACAGGGATGTGTACACAGGGATGTGTACACAGGGACGGGACGGGATGGCACGGAAGGGAAAAGAATTAACGCCAAGGGACGAGAAGGGATGTGATGGAATGGGAGGGAATGGAATGGGATGGGATGGGATGGGATGAGATGGGATGGGAGGGGAGGGGATCGGATGGGATGGGATGGGATGGGATGGGATGGGATGGGATGGGATGGGATGGGATGGGATGGGATGGGATGGGATGGGATGGGATGGGATGGGATGGGATGGGACGGGATGGGACGGGATGGGATGGGATGGGGTGGGATGAGGTGGGATGGGATGGGATGGGATCGCATGGGGTGGGGATGGGATCGCATGTGGTGGGGATGGGATGGGATGGGATGGGATGGGATGGGATGGGATGGGATGGGATGGGATGGATGGGATGGATGGGATGGGATGGCTGGAAGGTGTTAGAATTCAATTATATGTTCTAGCATGCTAACACTTGTGACTGTACACCAATTGTGGTGTACAGTTGGGTTGGGACTACACCCAACTTTGGGTGTAGTCTTGCATTGGGGTGCCAATCCACCCAATTGTGGTGGAGCCCCCAAATGCAACCCACTTGGCCCAAGGTTGCCTCACTTCCCAAAAGTGAGGCCAACCCAACCCAAGTGGGCCTGAGGTTGCCTCACTTCCACAAAGTGTGGGCAACCCAACCCACTTGGCCTAAGGTTGCCTCACTTCCCAAAGTGAGGCCAACCCAACCTATGGCCAACCCAACCTTTCCCTTCCAAGCTTCTCATCCAACATATGTATGCTTGTTTCTCCTCTAATGAATTCATTGGTTCAGTTTCCTACTTTCACAGAAGGGAGTGGAATGACTCACCGACAGAGCAGGTAAGCGACCCCTTGACTTGTGCAGCATGGTAACCAGGCAAACAACCGCATGTGTAACCATTGTCATTGCCCGTGCCACTGCAGTTGCCGTTGCCGCAAGGGTTGTTGCTGTAGGGGCATGTGCTCTTCCCAGAATTGACTGTGGGCACAACAAGGCGGGGGATGGCATTGAAGGTTGCTACGTAGACATGTGACGATTTTTTAGGCGCCTCGAGAAAGGTTCCTGTTGGGGCACGTGCTGCTGTTAGCATTCCCTGTGAGCACATGGTGGGTCAGGTCAGAGCACCAGTGCTGAGTACGCATGTGATACTAGACCTGCGAGGACAGCAAGATGAGGTGCTGTATAGATTGTTTGGGTTTGCGGCACATATTATAATTCCACACACGAAAAGCACGCCAAGTGCAACATGGCATGTATGCATGCCTAGTGCACTGCCGCAGTTAGATGTTATTGCCTGTTGGACATCCAAACGAGCTGCAGTGATAAGTTAAAAAATTTCCCCCGTGAATGAATCACCTGGCCTGGCGCACAGCACTACTGCTGCCCATGCTTGAATCACCTGGTGCGCAGTAAGGGTCGCCTGCAGAAGGGTTGACTTGGCTGAAGCCGGCGGCGCACAAGCAGCCGAGAAACGCCGACTTGTTGGTGCGGCAGAAGCCGGGTAGACACAAGCCCAGGGTGACATCTAAACAGTTGGCCGGCCTGCCTGGTGTGGCACGGCATGGAAAACAAGGATAAATCGGAAAAGGGAGGAGTGAGCGGAAAGGGAGGGAAGAGACGGAGGGAGGAGAGGAACGAGACGCGATTTAATGCTGGCATGTGGCAGGAGCGCACATACATCCCACACAACAAGCACCTTCTCCCCACTGACACTGACACCACTTGTGTGAGACCAGTTGGTTCTTGAGATATATTTATTGAGCAAACTATGGGGCGCTGATCCCACCCACGCAATCCCACTCCCCTCCAGTACTCAACGCCCATCCCATCCCTAACCCTCCAGACCCCTTACCGGCCTGGACTGCCAATACAGAGCCGGTCTTAGGGGCGGGTGGGTTCGACAGCCCAGATCACCTTGCAGCCTGTAGGCTGTACCCCCCTACCGCTTACGAGCACTGCACCGCACCACACTGCATGAGGTTGATTCTGGAATCCTCAGAAGCCAATCAGACTAGTGCTACACCGCACCGCATGATGGCACACACACATGTAAGAGCACTCTTGAGGGAGCGGGAGGGGGGGGGATTACTTGGAAGTCTGGCGCAGTTGAAGGGTGAGTGGGGCATGGCGCCGGAGCAGGAGTAGGCGGTGCCATCCACCCAGTAGCAGCGCGGCGATACGTCCAAGCAGGCGTAGATGGCATCGGCGCACTGCCATGTGTTCACTTCTGCAGCGAGCGGCAGAGAGGAATGGGCATGTTAGGCATGTCAGGCATGTCGTGCCAGGGAGGGTAAAGGGGGTTTGTTGGGGACGGACAACAACGCTTCCTTATGTGATCAGGTTGTGACAAAGCTGACCAATGCAACGCAATGGCACAATAGATTGCTGCCATTGCGTTGCATCACGTCATCAGCGCATGTTCCGGTGCTGTGACGCAAGCACTGGAGCTGCATGCACAGATGCGCCAACGCATGCGCAGATGCTGTAATGGATGGGGCTGATGCCGTAATACATGCGCGGACGATGTTGATGATGTGCTGCATGTGCTGATCCATGTAACACTCCCCTCTTAATCCCCTCTCCCCTCCCCCATATTCCGCCTCTCAAGCGGTCCTATCTACAAATTCATGCAGAGACATGATGAGAGAATGATGACGATAGTGTAGACTGTCCCTCTTGCTGACTCGTCTCTGCTGCATCATGCTGACATCATCCGTGCTGCATCAGGCTCACTCACCCCTGGAGCATGGCACTACTCGGTTGCTTATATTCTGCACACACCCAGTTTATGAGATGTCTGGAAACCCACCCTTGGAGCATGAAGGGCGGTGGTTGCAGGAGGTGTGCACAAGGCCTGGCGGGCAGCTGCAAGTGTACCCCGCAGCGCCGAGGTGGTTCTTGAGGCGCCTCAAAAACCATCTGAAAGCTCACCTTTGGAGCATGATGGCCTGTGGTTGCGGGAGGTGTGCACAAGGCCAGGCGGGCAGCTGCATGCATACCCTGCAGCGCCCACCGAGTCGTTCACACACGCGCCGGGAAGGCACGGGTTGGAGGAGAAAGCAGCACAGCTGCTTCTGGGCGGCGGTGCTGCTGTGGACGACACTGTGAGGAGTTGGGTTGGGAGGGAAGGCATGAGAATGGGGTGCGTTTCCAGGTAAGCGATGGGTAGATGGACAGGTGTGAAGCAACGTGATTGTGAGAGATGATGATGGCGCGTGCGTTCGTGAAGCCAAGCCTCCGCCATTGTTGCGATTCTACACCCACGGTACAGTTTGTCTGTCACAGTGGCATCGCATGCAACGCCCACGATGCATAATCCATCAGAGTCATTCCCACCATGCTGCCATCCCATCATGCTGCCATCCCATCATGCTGCCATCCCATCATGCTGCCATCCCACATGCTGCCATCCCACATGCCCACCACACACATCGCAGACCCACTCCCACATGCATCTACACCCTGCACGCCCCTCCCTCCTCCCCCGAAGACGCTTACCGCGGCACGTCGGTGCGCGCGCAATCGTGGCCTGGTCATAGCCATTGGGGCAGTGACAGCTGTAGCTGGAGGCAGTTGAGAAGTTGCTCACACACGCGCCGGGCAGGCATGGATTGGCCGGCAGCAATGTACACATGTCCGGAGCTGGTGCTGGTGGTAACGCGGGGGGAGCTGGTGCTGGTGGTAACGCGGGGGGAGCTGGTGCTGGTGGTAACGCGGGGGGAGCTGGTGCTGGTGGTAACGCGGGGGGAGCTGGTGCTGGTGGTAACGCGGGGGGAGCTGGTGCTGGTGCCGCGGGGGGTGCTGATGCTGGTGCCGCGGGGGGAGCTGATGCTGGTGCCGCGGGGGGTGCTGGTGGCGGGGGGGGTGCTGTTGAGTTTTGACATGTCGGCAGGAGGGATGAGGCACGGTTGGGGGATGAGTGAAACTCAAGGGCGAGTTTGTGTAGAGGTTGAGCAATGCCGCGTGCTTAGGCTGGGAGTGCAGTAGAGCATGCAGAGCATTGCCTGAAGGGCCGCACACACTATTGCAGAGCCCCCGAGGCGAGGACAAGGACGCCTTGACACTTATACGAATTCTCGTAGGTGAAACCATGATGCTCGCAACAACATGAGTAAGGTGCGAAGGGAAGAGGAGAGGAGAAGCGAGCGAAGAGGAGGAAAGTGAAGGTAAGAACGGGAGGGGAGGAATGAAGATGAGGAGGGGAGAACTAGGGCTGACCAGCTTCAGGAGCACAGTAGGGGAGGTTGGAGGACGTGTTGTGCTGAATGAACCCAGCGGCACACATGCAGCCTGTGAGGCGCGTGCCATCGTCCACACACACTCCCGGCGCACACACGCTCGCCTTCACGTCCGTGCACCCTGCTGGCCTCGCTGTGAAGGGCCGTGGGGTGGCGTTGAGTGGGGTGTGAGGGCGTGCAGGTATGGATGAGTGGGTGCTGCTATTCCGCTGCACTCATGGCAGGCCCACGCCTGCTGCCACCACGCCCGTGCCCCCTGCTGCCTGCTGCCTGCCTGTGAGGGGGGGGTGGACCGTGGGGGACAGAGGAAGGGGTGGGATGCGATGGGAAGGTATTGGTGAGTGCAGTATCGTTCTGACGGACAGCCTCCAATCACAAGCCCGCCTGCTGCCATGTCCATGCACCACCCTGCTGCCTGGCTGTGAGGAAAGATTGGTTAGCATTGAGAAGGGTATCAGGGGGGTAATAAGAACAGGTCCATCTGCATGCTGCAGCTGCTGTACCACACTCCATGCATGCACACACACACCCGTCACATCCATGTCTCCTGATAGCTTGGCGGCTAAGGGTGGGAGGGAGACGGGCACGTTTGGGAAGGTCAGAACACCTGAATCGTAATTCTTAGGGACATATGGATGAGCAGGCAGAGGCAGTACGTGGCATGCGCAAATGGAGAGCTGATGTGGAAAGGGGGTTGATGTGGTGACGGAGAGGGGAGGTGTGCGGAACGAAGAGAGGAAGATAGGATGGGGCGGAATATTAGAGCTCGGCAACTGATAGCTGGTGGCAGTGAGAAAGGAGAGAAATGCATGATACTGCTGGCAGCATAGGAGTTGATAAATGTTATTGCAGGATATGATTGGCCGCACAGGGAGGAAGAAAGGTATGGGAAACGACTGGGAATGATGTGGAGGTGGTGGGAGAACGAGCAGACGTTAAGAGGGAGTAAGGGAGGGAAGGATGGTGGGTGGTGACACGAACATTTGAGAGGGGTGCAGGTCCAGCGTGTTTGAGGGTTGGTGCAGACGCAGGAGAAGGAGGATGCACCGTAGTAGTAGCACTGAGGGGCGGCATAAAGACACGCCATGAGGTTGTTCACACACTGCGGGACCGAATCTGCTGGTGGTGGTGGCAGAGGCACGTGGGATGTGAGGGAGCAGAGGCACATGGAAGGCAGAGGCCTGGTAAACGATACTTATTAGAGGCATCAGGAGACCGAGACCAACGTCGCGAAAGCCATTTTTAAGTTGATCATATGGCCTTATCTCAAAAGGAACCACAAAACGATACCTCAAGTTGAATCTATGTGAAGAGTTCTAAACCATTCATCCCAAATTTGTTCGGCGAAAATACTAGGTAATAGTGTTAGGGTGGTTCGCCACTGCCCTAGTGCCTACCGGCCTACGCACCTGACCTAGGAACGGTAGAAGAACTCTAGGAACGGTGGAAACCATCACCTAATATGGGGAACCAGTACCTAGAACGGTGGGGCTGCATGCTAAGAAGCTAAGGAGGGAAGGCGAGAAGAAAGCGGGAAAAACGGAATGGTGGGAGAGTGGGTTTCAGGAAATGTCGAGAAGACATTTCCGTAAACCTAAAATGTCCAACCGCAACCGAACCGTGTTCGGTGCGGAAGGGACAAACGGGTTTCGGTTCCGGTGACGGTTACCGAATTCGGTTACGCGTGCGACTCGGGCTGAAACGCGGATGACGCGTTACGCGAAGCGCACATCACATTTCGAAATGCTTAAATGTCTTGTTGTTTCAATCATTTTGTGTACTTCTCTGTTTTGAGTGAAATCAGTCCTGAAAAACCAGAAATCTCTCCAAGCACTTACTATCTTCAACGCTAGCCGGAGGCTATACCTAAACTAAGAGCTGGTATCAGAGCTTGGTTCTCGTCGCGTCGAGCCTCATTATAATAGCGTTGGAGGCGTTCTTAATTTTTAGAGTATTGAAACGGACGATTATTCAACGACATGGGGAAAGGAGATGGAGAGGCCAGTTCGGGGTCCTCTGTGAACACTGACGGTGTGCAGCTGCAGAGCCTGCTCGATGCCCTTGCCAAGGGGCAAATCGTGGCCAAACCGACGATTGGCCTAAGTGAAGCTCAACGCTTCAATGGTGAGAACTTCGGCACATGGCGGCTGAAGTTCATGAGGCGCGCTCGGGAGGTAGATTTGTGGCACTTCTACAACCCAGAGGCAGCGACGGAGGACGATGGACCTGCACCTGCAACCGCACAAGAGAAGAAAGCGTTTAAGAAAAGAAGCCAACAAGCTTTCTTTCAACTCTGCCACTCGGTCTCGGATGCGATCGCAGCACGACTCGACCAGTTTTCCGAGGAGGACAACGCAGCAGAGAAGGCGTGGGCCTACATGGAGCGAGTGTACCTCGGGAAAAGCGAAACAAAAATGACAGCGGTGAGGACGAAACTCATACTGCTGGCCATGGAACCTACCGAGACGGTGGTGGACTACGTGGGACGTGCTAAAGGCTACAACGACGACTTGACAGCTATGGGAGTGCCCGAATCAGAGAAGCAAATGATGAGCTACATCATTGGCGGCCTACCGAAAATGGGCAGCAGAGAAGAGGATGCTGGCCTGCCGACGCCCGACGGACATGACGGACTTAGTGGAGTCCCTTCAAGACGTGGCACTTGTACGTGCGGAGGAAGAACGAAGGGAGGCGCTGCTGGACAATTTCAGCAACGATAAACCTGCCATGGTGAACGCAACCGGGGCAGGAAAAGCATTCGGAACTTGCTTCCACTGTGGGAAGAAAGGGCACAAGGCTGCCGAGTGTTACTCCAACCCAAGAAGCAATAATTTCAGAGGGACGGCAGCAGTTAGGGAATCTGCCAACGAGGGAACAAGCGGAGGAGGACAACGGCCGAGAGGTGGATTTCCTGGAAATTGCAACCACTGTGGGAAGCGTGGGCACAAAGCAATTGACTACTACAGCAACCCGGCCAGCAAGAGCTTCAGGGGAGGGCAGCAGCAGCAAAACAAACACATACCTGCGAAGATCAACGCCACCGAAGCAGAAACCAGCGACGACGACGTCATCCTCGGGGGAGCCCACAAGGCCAATGTTGCAAGAGCATCCGGAGCATGCCTGCTTGCAAAGGGCCTCAAAGGCAAGGAGTGGTACATGGACAGCGGATGTACCCAACACATGACGAACCGGAAGGAGTGGCTACAAAATTTCAGAGCATCACCGATCCCGTACGTGCTGTTGGGAGATGAAGGGAAACTTCATGTGAAAGGGGAAGGTGACCTAGTGCTGCAAAGTGTTTATGGGGAGGTGAAGCTTGACAACGTGCTGCTGGTGGACAAGCTCACACTCAACCTCATTAGCCAATCGCAGCTGGACAGCGGTGGATGCAAGACTTTCAGTGATAAGGGCAGCATATGGGTCTTCGGTTCGGATTGGAAAGCGATAGCGGAGGGATCACGCAAGCAAGGGCTGTACGAGATGAAGCTGCACGAGAAACAGAATGAGGAAAAGGTCACGTACCTGGCTGAACCGGAAGCGGGCAAGGTGGCTCGAGATGAGCTCCGCACCATGCTGGAAAAGGTGCCGATCAAGGAGCTGCAGCAGCAGGCGCTTCCTATGGCAGCAGCAGTGAGCACGGTGGACGTCAACCTGCTGCATAGGAGGATGGGGCACGCTGGTCATTATCGAATCAAGGAGCTGATCAAGAAGAACATGGCAGCGGGAGTGAAGGTAGCTGAAGGTGGAGAGGAAAATCTGAAGTGCAGCACATGCGTGGAAGCAAAGGCAACAAAGGCGCCACATCCCAAGCATGGAGCTCGTGAGCCGTACGAGACACTGGCTATTGTGGCAGCCGACGTCTGTGGACCGATGCGGGTGGCTTCACGACATGGCAGCAAGTATTTTGTTACCTTCACCGACCTTGGCACGCGTCACACGTGGGTGACTGAAATTAAGAAAAAGTCTGATGTCTACTCGAGCTTTCTTGATTGGCAGGCGGAAGCGAAAAGGCAAAGCGGCAAGAAGCTGAAGGTGTTGCGCACGGACAATGGGGGAGAATTCGTCAACACCGAGTTCAACACGTACCTGAAATCAAAAGGGATTCGGAGGCAGCTCACCATCCCGTACACTCCCCAACACAATAGCATTGCGGAGCGGGTGAACCGATCACTGCTGGAGGGTGTGAGGAGCTTGCTCGCGGATAGCAACCTGCCTCTTCACTACTGGGGAGATGCGCTAGGCATGGCATGTTGGCTGAAAAACCGTTTACCGACAAAGGGACTAGCGGCGGATATTACCCCTCACGAAGCGTTCTACAAGAGGAAGCCGAATCTGGAGTTCTTACGTGTTTGGGGCTGCATGGTGCAGTACCGTGAGGCGACGGGACCCGACCATAAGCTTCTACCAAGGACCAAGTGGGGGATTCACTTGGGAATCTGCCCGGAGAGCAAAGGGTGGGTGATACGTGATGTGGAGACCGGAAAAGTCACGGCGACCAGAGATGTTACCTTCTACGAGCAAGACACCTACTTGGAGTGGAAGGGACGGAAACAAGGAGCTGTTGCAAAGGAAGCGGCAGCAGCACCAACTCCACTGGAGGAGATGATAGATGGGAGTGAGAAGGAGGGG